AAAAAAATCGCGCCGAAGGAACGCGCACTAAAATTAGTTATAAAAAAAATTTCATTGGATGGAGGGCATGTATGGGCGATTAGTTGTCTCCGTTTATTTTCCCTTGATATCACTTATTTCCTTTTAGGAAACATTCTGTTCGATTTTTATCAAAACCTATTTCATCGCTTTTTGACACTGAAGTTGATTTTCGATGTATCTTATTAAGGGAACAACGATCGGTAATCTTTTGCGCCGACAATTTCCAAGCTTCAACATCAACCCCCCTGTCAACCCAGAGACTTTTAAACTGTTGTCCATACGCAGGAGTAGCGAATTTGACAAAAAGGTCTTTGCGGGATGGAGGAATTCAGACCTTGAATCAGAAGATGAAGGACCTCGAACCAGAAGCGTGAAGTCTTTCTGATAGGAAACACACGTTTTATTTTTTTAAACGGAGGATTTAAAGGTAAATAGTTCGTTTTTGTAAGCGAGTGGCTAGAGAGAAAGGTCTACCATAGCTGAGCAGAATCAGAGTTCAAGGTATGTTTAAAAACTAGAGTGTACACTTGAGTTGTATGATTTTTAGGTTGAAGCCTGAATAGTCACAACCTTGTTCCCAGGGTCTCTCTTCTCTCGCTCCAGGGGGCGGGAAGATGAGAGACCCTGGGAACGAGGTTTAAATAGTCAGATCAATTGCTGATCAATGAGTAGGAAGTCAAGGTCGCTGGTCTTGACTTTTTCATAAAATATTTGTTTAATTTTCCCAGAACATGTACTGCTCTTGAATAATGAGTGATCTCACGATTTTGGTCACATGTGCAGAAGAGAGAACGGCTTCGAAATCGAGAATAATTAATCAGTAATTAAACCAATCACAGTGTAGTTGAGCCACCAAATAAATTCAAGTGTCTGTTCTCCATTACAAAAACGCACTTCGCACAAAGCCAACGTCGAGGAGTGTTGCACATAATGGGGACACGTCCAACAAAGAAAGTGCTTGAAGGACGGGAAATTTTTGAAGTATCGATCGCAAGGTGGCAAACCCAATGCAGCAACAAGGCAGGGAAACAGAAGCATACAGCAAATTTTCAAACACCGCTAAATCCAAAACTTTGACGCCGAGGATAAAGCGATACAGATTCCCTTATTGGGGGGGGGGGGGGGAGGCTGCGAGAATTACCAAGGCTGTGCTAAGGAAAATTGAATGGAGCCCAGTGCTCTGAAACTGTAAAATCCAGGGTGCCTAGCATATGCTTTGTACGAAAAAACTCAAATTCCTGAGTCGCCCAAGAGCAAAAGTAAGGCATCAGGGGCCACCGGGCTTTGCTTGACCACAGCCTATGGAATATCCTCCGGGGGCTCAAAAATTTCGATTGCAAGGTGGAATGGCAAATAGTCAAGCTGGAGACTGCTCTTCGTCTTTGCTTGGATGTTTTTAAGCCGCTGTATACTTTTGAGATGATGCGTCATGTTTTGGTACATTCTGAACAGCTGAAAAATCATTTAACTTGACTTAACTTTAGACTGAAACTTAAAATGTATCATACGTGTCATGTATGTCCTCTAATTCTTATTTTTTCCATTATATTATTTTTTTTTTCCACTGATAGGAAATCTATTGCAATTTCTTAATCAGTTTCAATCATTCTTTGCACAGTCGAACCTCGATTATCCGGACTCGTTGGGACTTGAGTAAATAGTCTGGTGAGACTATAATGTAAACAAAAGAAATAAAGATAACACATTCAGCTGAACGCATCAGAATGCTATTTTGTTTCCGAGCGCTCGATCTGTTGAAAGTAGAGGAGGTGATGTGCTGTTTTCAACGCACTTTTCCTGACTTAAACATAATCTCTGAATTTTTAACGCCTTAAAGTTTTGAAGATCAAAGCTCATTAATAATATTAAATATTCATGAAAAAAAAAAAAAAAACCAGACCAGGGAAGAAGTCTGGATAATCGTAGACTCGACTATCAGCCTCTGTTCAGGAACCGGAGCCCGCGCTCCTCCCCGAAGAGACAGCCGTCTCTTCTCGGGGAGGAACGAAAAAGACCGGACCCGAGAGAACGGCGGAAATCGAGCCTAGGATAATTGATGTTCAGATAATCGAGGTTCGACTGTAGCAAATTTTTCCTCTGAGCGCGCTGAGTGGAGATCAGTAGATTTGCGAACCGGCGGCGAATTTTCCAGTTAAAATCGTGATTGCAGATTTTGACGGTTTCGAAATTCGAATTTCCGAACTAATCGTTACTCTTAACATCAGCCTTCGTTATCATGTAAACTGTTGGATTAGCAGGCGCAAGCGGAAAAATTTACATTGAAACTTTCTAGCTAGCCATGTTCGAAGTCCTGTGAGAAAAAAGCGTCATTGTTTCGTCTTGTTGAATTTTGACCGATTCGAGGTCTTTGCCAGAATAATGTTCTCCTTAATGACAACCTCGTTCTCAGGGCTTTTCCCTTTAACATTTTTAACGCCTTTAAGTTTTGAAGAGAACGAGGTTTTGAAGGGAACGAGGTTGCCTTCATGATTCTTCTTTTCAATATCCGAGTTTCAATGAAGTTCAATGAATCAACGGTGATCATGCTTCAGTATTTTTTTTCCGACTCCAAAAAGTTTCCAGTTTAAAGGTGCAAGTTTTAATTTTTTTTATAAGTACGTTAAAAATGGAGTAGAGAGTGATATGATTGTGTTATAAGTTAGTTTGGTTGCGATGGCGTCGTTAATTTTAATTTTATCAATAAATTTGATGTGGGATTCAATAAATTTTATGTGGGATTCAATAAATTTTATGTGAAAATTAATTTTTTTAATTTTTATTAATTTTTTTTATGTGTACTTGGGTACTTTTCGTAGTTCTTGGGGAATATTATTGTATCTTTTGACTTCCTTGCATCTACGTTTGTTTTGCCGGTTCTTCAAACCATGAAGTAAAGCTACAACCTCTGCTGAACCTCTAAACTGGATACTGTGAAAACAAACTAACCTGACGCTTCTTCTCAACTAAGCTGTTCGAGTGCACAGAACTGAACAAAACACATAATGAAGCTGGTCTGTATATTTTGTTTTAACAACGAAAGGTGTCCCAAAATCTTAGTCATCATAGGTGCCAACTATTGGCATCAACTAGCCAAAATGCCAAAACAAAATTAATGTTAAGGTGGCTCAATAGAGTTATGCAAGATCACGAAGCGCTCGCCAGTGACATCAATCGAAAGTTAATATTCTCGTTGTTTTTGCTATTTTTCAAATCAAAGCTACTGAAACATAAAAAACAAGGGCCTAAATTTGCTGTACAACAGTCACCTCTGAAGTCAAGGTTTCTAGTCCCAAATTAAAACTACTCAAATATCGCCATTTTTTGACGTCTGTTTGACTTTGATTTCAATTTTCTTCAATTTCCNGTACTGACCTCACGTGCTCGTGTCATTCGTTTTGCTGGGGGTTCGTTTTCCTTGGATATGTTATCATACTGGAGCTTCCTTTTGGCATTCCACGTTTTGAACCCTCCGTGTAACCTTTTTATTTTTGTTTCTTTTCTGGTTTCGATCGCTTCCACTTTCCGAAAGCGACCTGACGCATTACGGATGTTGTGTAGGCGTTGTGTAAACTTCTGGTCTTTCACTGTCAATATTGTGCTCATTACTGGAAAGTATCGATGCCGTTTCACTCTCGTCAAGTAAACTTCGCGATTATGTGACAAAAATTGTGCACTCGCGTGAAGCCGCCATGTTTGTTTACATATTTGATGCCATTTGAAAGCTCGCGCCATTTTCGTACCCATTCTTCGCCCGGCCAAAAACCCTGTTGAGCCACCTGAAAAGGATGTCAGCAGTAGGCGTACAGCGCATGCACCTTGATTGTCTTTTGTTTGGAAAGTGCCTACCGAAGCAAGTCTGTAAAAAGCGATGACGAATAAGTAAAATATCATAAAATACTTCGCTTACTCATGCTGATTCGGCCCTAAAAGCGTACTGGTCGCTTTTGGAAGTAAGTACAGACATTGCTACAAATTCTAGAGCTTACCAGAACGGATAAATTAAGCGAATATTTCGCAAATGCATCAGAGTGCATCAGAGTGTGACAGAGTGTGTGTGTTTCCGTTACTGAGATGTTGATGATGACAAGGTTATTCCCCGTGGAAGTTGTGTGTTTTCTTTCGTCGTACAAGATGTATTATAAGGGAATAGCCTCAAGCTAATGAGCAGGGCCAGTTTTAGAAGCGAAAATTTTTCGGTAAAATCGATGAATGAGAACATTTTTGAGTACGGTGAAATTACTAAACATATTTTGCCGAACGATTAGAGAGAGCATGATCTTAGTGTGGTATTAAGAGTAAAATTACATTTGCTGATAAGTCAGAAACGCACTCCTACGTTGCATAACTTTTACCATATTTAAACTCGACGACACCGAAAGAAATTTCACGATTGCAGAGTCATCCCAACGTCGCAACTGAGTTGTAACGCGATCGAGACTTGGCAATCTTTAGTTAGATCAAACCTATGTACGAAAGGTACTAGTCAGCAAAGGAGAGTAGAAGTGGATAATTATCGACGAGAAAGGTACCGATATGAAAACACAAGTTGTGATTTTAACAGATACTGGCTTAGGAGAACAAACTCGTTAATCTTCGTTAACCAAACTTCTGTCTCTTTGAGAATTGCATCCGGTATTTCGCTTTTACTTTTGCATCAGAGTAAAATCTCAGCACCAAAGACTCACTGTAAATATGTTTTTCTTTTGAAGCGAAGTCGTCCTTTTCAATGATAGTCATTGTTCAGGGTAATTGCTCTAATTTTTAAGCTTTTGTTCATGTGATCGTAGCGATTACAGAAAAAGCAGCCTTTCAGTTCTGGTTAGTCTGTGAAAGTGTCAATGTGTATGGAAACCGATACGCCCTGATAACGTTAGACTTTCTCTGAGTGGATCATGGGACTATGGAGAGAGATACTAAAAAATTTCTAGGTTTTTCGAAACAGACTGGGTAGAAACCGAAACTAAAAAGTGATAACTAAAGCTTGCTTAGTGAGCAAGAAACTTAAGCAAATATTTTCTAGATGTGTCAACAATAATTGACAACAGACGCTGTGGTCTTAAAATAAGTTGCAATGATTACAAAGAGGTTTAGAACTGGCCTCGACTTCTGCCGTTTTAAGAAAGGAATCGAAAAATTAGAATTATATCTTGACCGTAAGAACTCGTAATACCAGTAAGAGAAGATTCAATTTTTTAATATCTGTTTTTATAATGACAAACTAATACCTGTTTGTCACGCAACGTAGGACCATACTGGTTACAAAGCGTTAACATGGAGGAAAAGTCGAGCGGTACTGATCAATCTTTAAGAAACAATGAAAGGCAAGGAGGAGTTCCTTATCGGCAGCTTGCAGCTGACATGGCGCCATGTTTAGCAAATCAGCAGTTTTCCAGGGGGGACAACGAAGTTGCAGACAACAATGAGGAAAACAATGAAAACGAAACTGAAATTACTGATGGTGCTTGGGAGACGCCATTAGAGAATAACAACAGGCGGAGAAGAAATCATTACGAAGAACTAGCGGCAGAAATGGCTCAACCTTTAGCTGATCTTCAAGTCGCTGGTGGCGATAACAACGCTCTTAATGGTGCTGAAGGTGGTAGTGAACCCCTAAAAAGTGATGTGAACGACAACGACGTTCTTGATGGTGTTAAAAGTGGTAATAAATCCTTAAGAAATGATGTGAAAAATCGTTCGGGTAAAACCAAAGGAAAACGGAAGGAAAAGAATCCTCCCAAAGGTTCACGAAATTATTATTTTGACGTCGCAGCTAATGTTTCCGATTCTTTTAAGCAGCTTCGCACTCCAGGCAGCAATGATGACCGTGACTCGCTGCCTCAGAGTGAGGCGACCGGTTCTTTACCTTATCAGGAGTCGCTTTCAGAACACGATCAGGCTGGGTCAGGCTCCGTTGGCTATAGAAGAGAAAGCTCTGGGTCAGTCGCGCAACAGGAGTCCATCTCGGAATATAACCCAGACGCAACTTGTGGGTCAGCATCGGAGAGCTGTGTACACTTAAACTTTGAGCCAGAGATGCACAGTGAAGATTGGTCTGGAACTGAATACGACCGCAAGAAGGAAGAAACTGAATCTATCGTGCAACAGGAGTCATTTTCGGAATATAACCCAGACGCAACTTGTGGGTCGTGTGGCGAAAGCTGTGGAGGTTTCAGAGATGGGGACTCGTTGAGTGATCGAGGTGAAGACATTAAACCAGTTGCCCAACAAGAGTCTCTCTCAGAGTACGACGAAAATGCTTCTTGCGGTTCAGGGTTTTTCCGCTCAGAAAATGAAAGTTTTGAATACTCTAGCATTCAGACAGAAGATTCACGAAGTTGTAATGAAGGAAGTTATAGGACGGAGGATTCTCATTCGAAGTCTACCGCTGATTTTGACGCAACTTATGGAGAATGCTATTCCAAGACAGACGGAGAACCTTACTCGAAACGAACCAAACCTAACCCTGATACAAAATTCGATCCGTGTTTGAGTGCAGATTTCGAGAATATGAATCTCGCAGACAACGTCAGCGTTGAATCTGGTCGAAATGACTTCTCTTTTACGGAAAGTCCTGCTTCAAGTTTTCAGTCAAATAGCACACAAGATTCATGGAAAGATCCTCAAATGTCACCGAAGATTAACGATCGTGGTGTTAATAGTAATTCCAACAATTTCTCTGAGTTAGGAGATTATGGATCGCACTATTCAGCTCCTGTTGGCAATTCTCAAGGCGCTAGACCAAAGACTACCGGTAAGGTACCCCATGGAAAGAAATCTAAACAGCCGAAACAAAACACAAAGAATGCTTACACTGAGCTTGCCAAAGACTTAGTTGACGATTTATCAGCCATGAATAGGCAATTAGAAGGATCACGAGCTGAAGCACGCGGAGCAAAATACAAGGGAGGGAGTGGAAAAGGAAAGGAGTTGTTGAGCGGCAGCACAAGGGAAAGGCCGTTCGCGGATTCACTCACCGATACCTGCAGAGAAGCTAGTGGTAGAAACAGTGAGAGAGAAAACCAAGAGCTCTCTGACGAAAGCACTTTAGATACTGCGTCACCTGCTGGCCGTAGTATGTTGTCGGACAGACAACAGGTGTTGTTGGATGGTAGTTTACAAACTGAGATGTCAACTGGCACTTCATTACATTCTTATCCGTCGGAGGGAGAAGGCCTCAGTCTAAGGCAACAGACGAGCATGGCAACGGACGAGGAACTTGAAGGGGTAGATATTTCTAATCCGAGGGAGAAAATCTCCACGTCGAAAGACGCTAGAAGAAATGGCCCTTCTGCAGAAGAACGTCGGGCTCACATCGAGGAGCAGCAACGCTTGATCGATAATATGGCACCAGAGCTTCAATCACTGGTGATACAGATGATGCAGAATAACGAGGAGGAAGAGAGAGGTTACGCAACTCATAACCTGTACTACAACCGCCCTGTACCTGCAAGGACGCTTCCTCCAGTTCCAGCTCCAGCCCGAAACACAAACCAAGGTGCCTGTGCATTTGGAGCCTCGAAGCAGCGTGCAGGAGGCAAGAAATCTCGCAAGGGCCCTAAAAGCAAGGGTCATTATGTAGAGCTTGCGGGTATTATAGCTCCTCAGCTAGCGGAAATGAATGCAGCGATGGTGAACGGACACGGTAAAGAGCCACGAGCAGCAGAAACAACTGCTTCGGGCATGCACACTGGGAATGAACCGCCTAAGCCACAACCTGGCGCCCATCATGAAACTTATGGAATGGACGCTAATCTGACTGGCGCTCGTCCTCGTGATCATATGTCCTTTTCAGGTACAAGACTTCAATCACGTAACCAGTCACGTGGTCATTTGTCTATGGCATACCCGGTAGCCCAGGGAAGAGACACCACTGATGGTCGAGGTGCATCTACCCTTGTGGGAAACGGAACGACCTCTTCAAGAAGACGAGGGAATGCCAACATGACTCAGGGTAGGTTGTTATGAACAGTTGCATTCAAGACTAAATGAGCAAATGCCATTTCGTTAATTAAATGTAAATGTTTTCCTATTTTCTTAAGGAGGCAGCAAAGCTCCTACCGGTAAAGAGAATCGCGGATGGCAAAAGAAAACCAAAGCAGAAGAAACGAGCAAATCCATGTTGTTCCAAATGGCGGAAAACACAACTCAATCTTTCCAGCAACTCAACGAGCTCTTGGAAGCGCAGCAACGCCCGCCGCTTTGTATTAATGGCAATGGAGGTGCAGCTGCTGCTCGTGTTTCACCTGAACACGAAAATGGCAGAGATTTTACAGCCGAAGAAGCTGTTGTACGTGACGAAAGTAGTGCTGTGACGAGTAAAAGTACCCCGTCACGCACAGAGCGCAGTGATAGATAGTGTGGCAAGGTGTTCTTACCGAGTGTTATACAGTGTGTTGGCTTTTTCCTTTATTACATCCATTTTTTTTTCTAAATCACTGGTGATCCTTGCGATCAAATTGGCTCTTATCGGTGCGATTTATTCAGTCTAGTCGCCAACTTAGCAACAAATTTTTACGATTTGGCAGCCAAAGACGGTGAAATTGGCGACCATTGACGTATGTATTTGGCGCAGTTTTAAAACCTGCTTTATGAATATAAATAACATGCTTATGTAGAAAATTTGGGGGGGAAAAGATATACAACATATTCTTTACTTATGGACTTACATAGTGCTCAATAGGATAGGGAGCCTTATAATTTTTGTTCAACCGGTAAAATCGTAACGATATCTGTCCCACCTAAGGTCTTGGGGGAATGAGAAAAAAATTCTCCTTGGTGTCCCCTAAAAAAATAAAAACAGAAAAATTCCATAACACTGTTTTGGTGGTTTCCCGTGAATGCCTAAGTAAGCCTCCATCTCTTTTTAAGTCCTTCTCTCCCCGCCTCCCCCTGCTCCCGACCTTGTCGAGCTTTCAAAATACAAATGGAGGGAAGATGATATGCAAATTGTTGTACCTTAGTGTCGTTATTCATTTGGGCTCGGCGAACTGTAACTGTACTTTTCACTCAAAACTGTGATAAGCTACCCATGAAAGTATTTGAAAATTATGATCGTTCTCCGATAGTCAAGGAAACGCGCCAAGTAATCGGTTTTCTATGAAGTTGAGTCTGACTTCTGAAAGCGGGTTAATGTAATAACGCATTTCAAGAAAAATAATAACTGGAGGAAGGTAGAGGGAAATGAGTCGATACCCTCCCCTTCCCCCCCCCNAGCTACCTCTGTATAAGTGCCTATGCGACGCACCTCTTAGCGTTCCTTTAATTTCTTTCTTACTTTCCCTTCCCGATTCCTTGCGGACCCAAATCCCCCTATACGATTTTGGATCTGCATTGTCTGGACCATTGAGGAATCCATCTACCGAGTGAAAAGTGTGCTAGTACTTCCCTTTTAGTTAAAAAAGTAAGAACTTATTAACACTCTAAATCTTGTTCTTGTTGCTTCCACCAATCATGATGGAGTTTCAGTCCTTCACTCTTGCTATAGTCTTGAACAGACTAATTGAGGAATATTTTTTATACCAAATTTATTATATTAGAGCTTAGAGTTAAAAAAAAATCGCCATTTTCGATTGTTAAATAGTTGAACTTTGTACGGTATTAAACTCTATTCTGGCTACAGGTCATTTACCTATTCAGCTGCTAAACTATTTAACAACCTTGATCATGCCACAAAATGCTCCCTGACACTTAAAGAGTTTGTAAAGAACTATCGGCCTAAATAACTTGTAATAATCTATTTAATTCGGCATCGTAGGGTTATTGTTAACGGAACACGGGCAAAGGGTTATTTATTTATTTATTTTAATGTTTATATTATATTAATATATAATATATATATATGTATATACCTGATATATATATGTATATCCCCTGATGAGTGGGCGACCACGAAACAGGCTTGTAGGGATGAACTTGTAGTTTACTTGTCTTTTTCCTCCCACAATATATATATGTATTTATGTGTGTATGTTTTTAATATTTTAGATGCCCAGCTTCATTGTAAATAAATGACTTAGCTATATGGATTCTGTGTCTAATAAAGTATATATCGTACGTATATGTGAACGATCTATCTATCACCGACAAAAGCCTGGGTCTAAGCTTCATCCGGGTCTGTCATTTACCATATATGGTGAGTGACATAGTGTTTTCTTGTGGATTATGTCGTCACTTTTGTTTTGGTCTAAGGAAGTTGCTGAACTGGCGGATTTCTAGTATTATTCAGTAAGAGAAGGGATTTTACCCCAAATATTTTTGTTTTTAAGGTGAATTTGTTTCTTGAGAACGCCTTTAGTTTTTCAAATGACCGACAGGGTCAAAGTAAAGGCCAGATTCAATGGCATTGCTCGGCGATTCGAGATCAGTTCTCCCACATCTTGGGAGGAATTAACTTTTCAAGTAAGTGTTTTCAAGCAAAATTTCCTTTTATCCAGCTCTCTCCTGGGATTTTTTAGATTAGAGATTGTAAACTGTTTCCTTTAACCTCTTATTTATGTAGATCAAAGAACTGTTTGATGTGCAAGATTTCATGTTGAAGTATATTGACGACGAAAACGAATTGGTGGGTAACTATATTTGTTAGTGCGAGCTTAGCTTCTTCCACAGTAAACACCGTTTAACGTAAACGGAAAATATATTAAATTTCAAGCATATTTTGAACCATTTACATAAACTCAAGTTGAAAAAGCATTATGGAATGGTCTTTAATTTGGGTCCAAGCCTTTAAATTTCAGTACAGATGTTAATAGTTTTTATTTCTTTTCTGTGAAACTTTCAGGTCACGCTAGGAACGCATGGTAAGCTATTGCAGTAGATTGCTTCACTAAATCGATGCTAGTCATGGTACATTGAAAAGATCATAGGCTTGATGAAAAATTTCGAGCGAATTGCTTGGTTGTTGCACCAATTTTTAGCTGTTTCATTTTCGTTGGACTTTTTTCAAGATACATGCAAGTTTCGAACCGCCGTGTATTCTAGAAGTCATTATCTGTGTTGGCTCAGGCTGCTTTCAATTTTTTGAGAATCCGCTTAATTGCGAGGGTTAGAAAACACCAACAAAGGCAATTGGTATTTAACGAGATCGTTCAGTTTTCCTTTATTTTTGCCTTTAAAATCTTTCTCTGAAAGAGAACTTTCATGCACTGAAAGGAGCTTGCGATTTCCATTGTTTCTTTGCTATTGATGTCATAAACTAAATTTACCATAACGTAATACATAACGTACTTTTGGATAAAAAAAGAAAAGTCTGAACTGATTCAGCAGATATGAATTTGTGGGTTCATATCATGATGGTAAAATAAATACAACGCTAAATTACCGGGACCAAACCAACCTTTTCTTCTACTTGTTCTTTCATAATACAGTACAGTGAATCTTTACGTTTAATTCTTATTCAATAATTCATTAATACATTTTTTTAATTGATTTTTTTTTCAGAGGAACTTGAAGAAGCATTAAAGGTGAGCTCTGAAATACCCTCTTACAAATAGAAAATGATGAACACAGATTGTCACAACTGCAAGGGGAGACTCCAATCTGTATTTTTTTCTTTGTTATTTCAGTATGCATATTCTCCAAACTGTTCTTTATACATTTCCTAAGGTGCTGAGAAGGAGAATTTGTCTAACAACCAAGTACTTCTTTAGTTGGTGATCATTTCCCTTATTCTTGTGACCTAAACTGTTTGATTCAGGGGTGATATTGTAAGGAGAAATTAGATGTTAGTCACTTCAAGAGGTCAAAGGGTTAAAGATGCATTTAGTAGCAAACAGTCTTAATTTTCACCCCAAAGTAAACGGAGGCTTCTTACATCTACATGTATTTAATAATAATAAATGATATTATTAAAAACTGGATCATTGGATAATGCAATTCAAGACTTTTTATTGGCTTAGCCATTATGGTATATGAGCCAATATACCATAATCTACAAATGTGGTAAGCGTACGCATCAGCTTAAAATCAAAAGGGAGCTAAAAAATCCGGTTTCTTCTTACAAAACAATAATTTCTTGGGGGCGGTTTCAATAAAACAATAATTCCACTCGCGCTTGTTGGATATGAGATGATTATAGCCAACTCGGTGCTACGCGCCTTGTTGGCTATCTATCATCTCATATCCAACACGCGCTCGTGGAATATTTGTTAAATAATCTTTATTTAACGTGGAAGAAATGCTGAGCTGAAGCAAGTTTACAGGTTCTCCACAAAGAAATAACTGATACAAATAATTCAAATTGAACATAACATTATTAAGAATCACAACTGGCCAAAGGCAAACCAGCTGGCTATTTACAATCGTGGCCGAGGATCTGAACTCGGAGCTACCTTGAAACAAATCCAGGTAGTGGTCAGGGTGGGACTCGAACCCGGGGGCAGCGGATCGCGAGTCCAACACACTGACCACTCGGCCACACTGTGTATGCTTCAGTTATAGCAGTTGACCTTTTGTATTAACTACTCTGATCAGATGACAAATTTCTCTTTCTTCAGTGCAAGTAAACCTATCTTTTTGATAAATGACATCACTGTTTTGTCAATGTTGTAGATACAATAGAACCTCTCTAACTTGAACTCGTTTAACTTAAACTTCCTGCTAATTCAGACCAAATGCAACTTCCCTGGATTTTTCTGTCCCATTTTATTTTTACCCCATTTTATCAGCTAACTGGAACTCAGTTAGTTCAAACTCCTTGATGCCTGGAGCTAATTTCAAATGTCCTTTGGTTCAAATTTACCCTGATAACGCGAACTGTAACTTAAACATGAAAGTGTTAGAACATATGAGAACTGTGTAGCTGATTGATATGTGGCAGTTGATACGAACGCAATAACATTTATGAAAATGTAATACAAATACAGTGTAACTAATGTCCCAAACTTAGTGCTCTTATCAGAAAGCTCTTATATAACAAACCAGCTATTCAAAAATGATTGTTGCTTGTGCAGGAATGGTAAAAACATGATTCCTATAAATGGGATAATTGGAATTCAACATCAATCCTCTAATTCAAATTCTTGCTAACTCAGACCATTCTTTCATTCTTTTGTTTCCCTCTAGAGTGCAAGTCAGTGGGGCTGTACTATAGATTTTTTCTTTAATTCTGGTTCAGCCAGGGATTCTCTCAGAGTTATTAATTCTCCTCCTTGGTTGTGCAGGGAATATCAAATTGAATGTCCTCTGTTTTTCTGTCCTATGCCATAGGTCACTCATAAAACAGGTTTATTCAGACTAGTGGTGGATAGTGCCTCTGATCAACAAACAACTGCACCAAGGATTGAGAGTTTTAGAGATTTACTTGTAGAAAGTGAGGAAGACACACCTGTGGTAAGTGTTGTTTGTTTTTGGCTTCATGAGATGCCCCAAAAGAAGTGGGAATAGTAATCAAAGTTTAATGTCTTTACGTGGGGCATGGTTACCCATATTGCCCGAGCCAGAGGCTCATGTATGAAATGCAAGACAACAACCCACCCATCCCACCACAGGGAAGGACATCCATCACACAGTAATCTCGTGCGTGGGAAATTAACATCTCCTACCCCTAACCCTGCAGGAGATGGGACCTCCATTTATTCGTCCCTATCCAAGAAGACTAGAATATCTAAACCATTTCTTGATATAATAGAAAGACAGCATATTCTTCTCAATTATTTTAAGACCTTGAGTGTTGGTCCAGCTGGGGCTTGAACCCTTGACCTCCCGCACATCAGTCCAGCTCTCTATCCATTGAACTAACCAGGAGAATAAGGTCTACTAGTAGTCACAGTACAGACCAAAAAGTAGAGTTTAAGGACATTGTGGTGAGGCACTTTCAGCATTAACAGAAATACAGACTTGTCTATAGGGTCAAAAGCAAGCCATGACCAGCTTCATGCATTTATTTTGTGCTACTTTGGTTTAGTCTTTCTAGTCTGAGTAAATTCTTAGGGATTAAAGAAATAACAGAAACACTGCACTTGTCCAAAAGGATTATTGAGTTGAAAAGAAAGTTTCTTGCCATCTGAATGCTGTAACCATTACAGTCAGTAAACCTATTTCTTTTGTTTCAGCTCCAAGCCCAGAAACGCAAGTTAATCTCCAACACCACAACTCCATCAGAACTACCCAGTGCTTTCAAGACTGCAAAAATGGATGATGGGGACCTCTCAGAAACTGGGATCATTGGAAACTCAAGTTTTCAGGAAGTTGAAAATGACTTCCAATGTAAGACAGCTGATAAAGAACAGTTACCAACTGAAGGGAATGAAATTGTGAATGACAGAGATGAAAGAGAAGTGGTAGATGATACTGTGGAATCTGCAGGTGTACTGCAGAATCCTTCATCCACAGGGCCACCAACATATGAAAGGATAGCTGATGAGGCTACAGCTGACCATTATATCCCTTTAATTGAGCTCATGCAGCCAGTTCCAAGTAATCCATCCCAAGATGCATCTTCATTTTCAGGGAAACTTAAAAAGGCTCCTAAGAAACAGAAGACAAAGGCCTGCTATCTTCAGTTGGCTGAAAATATTTCTGTTGAGCTGGCAACCATGAATGAGAAGCTCCACAAACGATTGCGGAGTTCTCTGGATGTATTAAAGAATAAAGAACATGTTCCTATGGAGGGACTTGGAGATTTTGAAGAAGATTCATATGTATTCGTTGGACAGCAAGGTAACTTGATGAAAAATTGAGCCTCTTTTAGAAAGGAGTATTTTCCTTTTTTGCTATGGAAATTAATTGCATTCTCTCAGCAGAGTAGTCAGGGAGGACGGAGGTGTCCTGCAGTTGTAAAGGGCATCAATTGTTTCGGCTATTTATGGTGCCTTAATATTCATTGAAAGTTTTTTTAAACGTAGTTTTGTCCCTTTCAAGTGCTACAGACAACAGCGGTTATCACTGAATCATGTTTTTGAGGTTTTTAGATAGATGTTCTAGATACTATAATTATAAGATGATTTTTTTATCTCGGCTAAATTAAATGCCAAAAATTGTCCTTGAAAAGAAAAGTTTATGTTCCTCAATTTCCAAAGTTTCCAATCCCAGGTTGTTTGGACTTTGAAGTCAGATGTCTTACCTATAAATGTACTGAAGAGAACACAAGACAACGAGATGGCATTCTTTGTTGATCTTGTCCTGAGCTCTTGTTTGTTGTTAATTTCAGAGGATAGGAATGCCACTGCTGGAGCTGTGGATGTAGAGAATAAGGAGTTGTTGTCTTCCCCCAATGAATACAGTGAAAACCAAACAAAAGCAGAAGAAGAAGGTGAAGGAAATGCAAGCCCCAGTCCCGATGTTTTGAGCACTTCTCCATCAGCCAGTGGCAACAATTCGAATCAGAGCAGTGTTGATCATGAAAAAATGGCAGAAGTCATTCAACATGTTGTGCAAGAGGTAAGAAAAGCTGAAGTACAACAAACTGTTTTGTGGAAAAGATTCACCAAAGTGATGAGAAAAAATGCAATAATCATCCTGGAGATGTTAAGAAAAACAATCATGGTCCACACAGATGTGTATTGCAATTAAAGCAATGGCACAAAAGAAGCCTAATTTAAATATCTAGGGTGAGACTATAGTGCATCATTAACTTTTCCCAATTTGCTGTCTTTATAGTCTGTGCCACAAATAGTGGAGGCAACAATAAAAAATCTGCAGCAGCTTCACCTCGGCAGTCCCTCACCAAGTTCCTCACCCATGCAAACATGTGGCATGTTGTTAGGTGGTAAAGGTATAATTGCTATTAAAACCCTTTCATTGCCATAAGTGACCAAGACAGAATTTCTCCTTACAATATCAATACAATATCAAGCAGACATGTGTTGAGAATACAGAAAAATATCAACACAAGGGGATTTTTTTCGGTGATCCAACACCAAATTCTCCAAACTTACATGAGAAGAATTGTATAGCAGACAGGAACGAGAATTGCTAAAGAGATCTTGGCAATGAAAGGGTTAAATGGAAATATTTGAATGATGTAGTTATGTATCTTGTCCTCAATTATCCAAGATTCTAATCCTATTTTTCATTTCAGTCATCTTTAATTTCTCATCAGAAAAAGTTTCTGGTTACTCCTAATACAAAGACAAAAAATTAAAATTTGAGCAAAGTTTTGTTGTTTCTATCAAGATGTAGTAACATCTGATTTTAAACAGAAATTTCCATCGTATATTGCTAGTTTTCTTCAGACAATGAGGTGAGCTGGGTACCGGTCGCCTCTTGAAGCATTATAATTGGCAGGGGCTCTTTGAGAATGCATAGCTACACAGTCAGGCAGATCCAAGGGAAGTGAAGGGTCCAAAACTTTGATGTATAAAACACAGAAATTGTTTTCACACTGCAGCTGAGATAAGTTAATAAAATATTCAAGACAATTTGAATTTTAAATTCATTATATTGATCAGTTTTATACAGACAATCTTGTCATTAAAAGACAGATAGTAAACAGATATTGTAAGGGAGTCCAATCCACCTTGTAGATCAGCAACTGCTTCAACAGTTTCTTGTTGTGTTTAATATCTGTTCCTTGATGAAGAGAATCCATGCTACATGTCAGACAATTAGGGATAGTTCATTTATTTAGCACTTTTTATTTATTTGTTATTGTTTTCATTAATCTGACTAAAATGTTGTTTTATTAGTTGTTCATAAAGGTATAGTCTGTGCCTCATGTGGCCAAGCTGTCTGCGGAATCCGATACAAGTGCTGGTAAGAACCGCCTCCCTGTTAGTTAACCGTCTCCCGGTTAGCTTAACCGCCTCCCGGTTAGCTTAACCGCCTCCTGGTTAGCTTAACCGCCTCCCGGTTAGCTTAACCGCCTCCCGGTTAGCTTAACCGCCTCCCGGTTAGCTTAACCGCCTCCGGCAGGTCGAGGGTTCGAGCCCCAGCGGGACCAACACTCAGGGTCTTAAAATAATTGAGAAGAATTTGCTATCTTTCTAGAACATCAAGAAATGGTTTAGATATTCTAGTCTTCTCGGATAGGGACGAATAAATGGAGGTCCCGTCTCCTGCAGGGTTAGGGGTAGGAGATGTTAATTTGGCACACATGAGATTACTGTGTGCTGGGATGTCCTCCCCTGGGGTGGGATATTGGGTGCACTTAATTTGGAGCCTCGCTCTCTTGTGCGACTCTCACCGCACTCTGGTGAAAGTGATTAAATATAAGAACAGAACAAATTTGATTTTTAAGTTGATAAAGGGTAGATGTAACCTAAGTAAAACATTAAAATGTTGTCAGTTTGACAGGATTGTTAGTGAAAAATGATCTCAAACCAGTTTGGGTTATTCTTTGTTGCAGGAGCATTTTATTTAGCACAGTCTGCAAACAAAGAAAAATCAAATCAAACTAGGAGCATTTTATTAAGCACAGTCTGCAAACAAAGAAAAATCAAATCAAACTAGTTTCGAATATTTTCAACCAGAAATTGTTACTAAATCAAATTCATGTTTCTCATTGTTTCTGAAATGTAAGGTGATATCATTCTAAGATTAATTTAGTCCTTTTAACTTAATTCTGCACTCTTAAGTGTTCAAGTGTCAAAACGAAAAGATTCTAAATTGAACACATTCTCTAGCAGATGCAGAAATTGAACTACATTACCATTGTATATTGAGGCTACAAATTGGACATCAAGTAGGATAAGAACAAATGAGTTGTTTGGTCTAGTTTTATTTGCAGATGAAGACATCCTTGGCATCACTTAATTCTTATAATTTGTTTCTCTGCAGTTTCTGCAAAGATTACGACCTGTGTGAAGATTGTGAAGGAAAAGAGGGAATCCATGATCCCAATCACTTCTTTGCTAAGCTGCGAAACCACGTGCCCGGAATAGGACGGAAGAATGGAGAGATGGTGCCAGTGTTGAAAAAGTTTGTGTACAAGATGACAATTAAAGAAGAGTACAAAAAAGAGAAGAAAGAAGAAAAAAGGAAGGAGAAAGATGAAAAAAGGGAAAGGAAAAAGGAAAAAATGATCATGAAGGCTTCAAGGAAAGATGAAAAAGAAAAGAGAGATCTGAAAAGAAGGACAAAGAAGGAATGGAGACAAATGTAAGCTATGATCTCAGTAGTAATTCTCTATGTAATGTCTGCCTTCATCTGCTATACATTTCTGATGATGTTAGTTTGGAGAATTTGGTATTGTATCAACTGATACCTGGTAATCCCCTAGTTGATATTTTTCTGTATTCTCATCACTGGTCTGCTTGATATTGTATTGATATTGTAAGGAGAAATTCTGTCTTGGTCACTCATGGGAGCTAACCCTTTAAGTCCCAAGATCTGATTGTTAATTTTCCCCTCTAGCTGCTACCTATTTCCTTGTAAATTAATCAGGAGAATCTGGTGTTAGATCTAGATTACAACTTCTACCTGATACGTTTGAGTATTCTCATTACCTGTTTGCTGGATTGTGTATGGATATTTTAGGGAGAAGTTACATGTAAATTACTTGTGGGAATTGAAGTGTTAAATGGTTAGATAAGGCTCTGAATACCTAACATCTATGAAAAGGTCTGTTGTTCTATTAAAATGGTAGGATAGTATGTAGTCAGGTATTGTTTAGTAGTTGTAATAACTGTTATTACACGACTCGGGCAGTCAGAGGGCCAATAACTAAAATCAACCAATCAAAATGCTCTATTGCCGGTCAATAATTATATTCTCTCTGTATTGGACCGGGCACTGTCCCGAATGGTCCCGAATGGTCCCGAATGATACCGCACTTATGTCCCTTTGAACTTCAGTCGTATAATAAATCTCTTATTAACCAAGCTTCCTCGGGACCGTACTGGAAGAATATCGGCCCTCGGTCTTTTTTTGCGGAACTCGCTGCGCTCGGTCCGTACTGTCAAGACCTCGGGCCGATATCCTCCCAGTACGGCCCTCGCGCTTGGTTAGTAAGATATATGAATTTACTCTAAATACCTAACGTCCATGAACATGTACATACATGTGGAAACCCAATTACAATGACCACTTTTTGTGTAATGAAATTGAGCCCTATAGCTAATAAAAGATCTGCAGTTACCCATCGACCATAAGATTGTATCATTCTTCAGACGAAAAACTTTTCGCGTAACTCTTTTGATGACAGGCGCCATGAGAGAGATTCTGCCACCATCAAGGAGAGGATGGGAAACTGCCTTAATGCTGAATTCATAGCCGACGCCAGCATACCTGATGGGACGATCATAAAGACAGGACGTAAAGTGAGACAGATGATTATTTTTATTTTTAATTTGTGTACGGGCTGTACTTAACTACGGTATGATGCGTTATTTGGTGAGCAAACTTGAGGAAATTTATCCGCCAGTGAAAACTGTGGAAAGTTAACAGGACCACAGGGGTGAATAAACAAACACAACCCTAAGAAACACATGACGATCAACGGACATTCGGCGCAGTTTAACCAATAGTTTTTACCGCAGATACAATGCCCATTGAAATAAACCTTGACCATTCCACAATGGAGAAAACAATTGGCCAGCTCCTACATTCTAGTTGGCAAACGCTTCTAACAGTAGACCCATATGCTCTTCTGTCAAGACCACTCTGCATCTGGTCTTAGACGCGTCCTAGACGAGTTAAACGCGCATATTTTGGTCTCCTAATCATTGAGCTGCCCTGTAGTATGGCATAAACGCTATTTCAATAAAAACGGGGGCTTCTGTAAAACATTGCAAAAAAAGTAGAATTTCAACCTTTTCATTAATTAATGTGAAACACTAGGTCTGGAATATTTGGTGACATTTCATGAGACATCTGTTGTTCAAACAAACCCTTATTTGTGATTAAATTTTGCAATATGCTGTTCTAACATAACCTGAAGCGGCCTAACTTTTTTGTAATCTTCTTGACAATAGTCCATTTTACAGTTGTGTGCTTGGTTGCCAAGCCTTTGAATGGGAGTGAGGCTAGGGTTGACCTTATTATGATACAAACCTTGCTGCCTTTCAAATGTAAATCACTTTGTTATCATGCTAAGTCATAAGTAGATACAGGTCTCTATCACAACAAGGTCACCTTCAGCCTCACTCTGAATCAAAGGCTTGGCAACTAAGTACACAACTGTAAAAATTAATGGCCTATTGGTTCATAGAAAAAAAATTCAAGTTTGGTTGTTGAACTTGAATCACAGCTATTATTTCGGAGTAAGTTCTCTGTTTTCTCTTCCTTGCCAGTTTCTGAAACGTTGGTTTGTGAAGAACAAAGGTCGAAAGTGGAATGCGAAGACAGTGGTAAGTTGTCTCCAATAATTCATTTTGTTGTCGTCTCAAGCCGTAGTTTTAAACAGGAAGGCGCGCTATATAAGGAAGTCTTCCCTGGGAAGACCTAGGCTCATTTGTCACTCACCGTTGACGTGTGCGGGTCAAATTTAAATACTGGTAGACGAACAAAAGGAGCTAATGAGATATCTATTATTTATTTCCATCAGTTATGGTGGCATGAGGTAACGTGTGAACCACCTACTTTGATCTCAAATTTACCGCCACAAATAAAGACAGTTTATATTGGAGAAAGGAAATACAAATCTCAAAAATTCTTGTATTGTGATGAAGACATAAAACAATTTTGAGGAATGCGCCCGCTGTTCACTGCTTTGGAGTAGCTGTAGCTCAAGCTGACTTGACTCTAAGAGTTCTACATCACACGACGGTTGATTGACAAATGGTCCAGTGGGACCTAAGGCTCCTTTTATAGCGCGCCTTCGTGTTTAAGAAAACAACAAAAATTCGTAATTGATCCTGTTAAAGAAGGTTTTGTTCGATTATCACTCGTTTTCCCGCCCTTTTGTGGTTTTGCCGCTGAGGACCGCGGTTTTCGGTGCTCTCTTCTTCTAGTAGCGGCTATCTTGGTTTTGTTTTGTTTTGAGCTCTAAATAAATTACTCTCTCTGACGACTTCTTCCTGGCTATTCAACTGTTATGGTATCGAGAACAGATCCCTGTGGCCGTGCACATATTACTTGTGCGCTGTACGTGGCCCATCTTGTCCACTCTGATATTGTGATTACAAATACCTAACCTCGTGTGATAATTGAGTCTAAAATTTTTGAACATGCTGCTGAACGTGTTCTCTTCACAGCTTCAGTGTCTTGAGGGTAATATCCTAGTCGCTACTGGAGAAAACAAAGTTGCAGTACCATTCCTTAAACCAGATGAGGATGGTGAACTTATGGTGCCATTCATTGCTCCATCAGCACCTGGACAATATGAAAGGTATGTAATGATATACATGGAAAAATTACGCGCGTCTGATTGGCTGAATTGAGTGTATTTTTCATGTGACACGAGTGCAAAGTCCCAAGTGCAACTTACAAATGGCGCGCACGCTGTCAAAATTTCTTCAGTCTTGACTTTCTGTGAATCTTTTTTCATGAAAGTTATTAATATGTAACAACATGATTTTTCGTGCAATTTGGTGTATATAAGCACTGGTGCATTTTTCAAAGACCGTAAATTGCACTCGCCCATAAATTACCTTCCTAAAGAACTTATGTCTACCTGAAATAGATTGTGATATATTTTGATATGTTTTTTGATATCTATTCTGATACATATTTTTTTGGTAGTAAATGGCAGCTGTGTCACCACAGTATTCCATTTGGCCCACTGTTCTGGTGTCAGATTGTTGTTGAAGAAGGGGAAGTTGAATGTGAGATGCTGCTGAATCAGGAAACCCCAACAGAGACAGGTAAAACTCGTCCAGTTAAAAGAGTGTCGAAGAAACTCCAAATTGCTTCTGATAGACCGGTTGATGTTCTCTCCAAATTTTTTTCCATTTGTTTGTTAAATATAAGGAGAATACGACCCTAAGAAATGATGATTCAGAGTAAAAACGACATGCTGTACAAATTAGCACGAAATTTTCGGAAATTGCTAAAAACGTTCTTTCAATTTTTTTTCTAGACTTCTGGCGACCACTTTTTGATTTTAGTTCGAAAAATGGCGTTTGTGAACAAATTTAAACATGGGGCAGGCTGCAGATGGTACTCTTTATACCGCTTTCGTTTATGCACAACAACAACTGCGAGAAATATGTTTTTTTAGATCATAGAATGTCAAAGTTCTTATGCAATGCCTTTTTTTTTTTTCACCTCAACAAGAAGCCTCAAAGTACCCCAGTTATGACAGCACCACCCTGGTCAACAGTGCATTTCCTGAGCGTGACACCTCCCCTCTCAGAAAGTTTGTGGAGGACATAGTCCCTCAAGGACTAATGGCTGAGGAGCCGGACGAAGCATCAGGATCAGATGTATACCTTAGTTCCACCGAGGACAATGCAGAATTCGAGACGATTAGGATCCCGTTAGAATCTGTGATCGTGTCCAGCCAAGCTGCTCAGGCTTCCGAGCTGGAGTGGGATACATCTGGATGTGGCTTGGACGCAGAGTTATGTGACAGGGCTGAGATAGAAGAGCTCGTGGCTTCTGCTGTGGAAGGTGTGAACTCTTGTGAAGGTCTTAGGGACATAGTTTGTCCACACCCATTTTTTTTTTTTTTATGTGCGCTAAGAAGCGCGGGAAGTAAGCACCCCCACTCCTACTCCCTCGTGCTCATATTCTTGACGTTCTTCCATCTCATCCACCCTCTGGACGAAGATATAAGAGAAAATAAAGGGCTCGTGAAGAGTGCTTTAATTTCCAACATAAGCTTCTCGGCCAATTTTTTTTTTTTTTTAACAACTGTTTGTGTAGAAACGGGAAAAAAATAGTTTAAGCGTATGAGGGAACGAACACAAGGACATTAGACCTAACAACAGGTTCAACGATTGACGTAATGGGTCCAAAAATGAACGATAAACCGAGCTAAGATAGAAGGCGCCAGTAAACTACTGTTATTACGTTTCGTTCAGCATCTCTTTTACGTGTCAAGCGTGGAGACTAATTTTTTTTTTTGGTGTGCGTATTTTCGTTGTTTTATCTTAAATCGTTTTAATTTCGTGTCCACAGATGCAACAAGTGACGTTGAAAGCGTCGCCACTGATATGTCAGACGAGTTCATGGTGGTACCCGTCCCTCCTTGTTTTGACCCAGACGCCCCCCTGACTGCAGATCCCTCCCCCGTGACTGTTAGTGTCACAGAATATAAGCAAATGACTGAGAGTCAACAAGGAACATTTTCATTCACCCTCAGTGATCAGCCCACTCTTAAAACCGAGCTTAAGAGTGTCCCTGGTACCTCTTTTTTCATCGATCCGAGGAGTGTGAGTACTGACGACACAAGTATGGAGACAATTTCCAGGACGACTGTCGAGGAGGACAACAATGTGTTTGAGCCGTTAAATGACTCAAACCTGCAGCTTCTTGATTCACCTGTGTCAGAAGCAGGGTTAGAGAGTCCCCTGATAACAACAGAGGAATCCTCAGGAGAGTTGAGCTGTGAGCCCACTCAACCCGAATCACCCATTATCACTGAGCCTGTAAACATCTCTGAGCATGCAAACATCCTTGAGCCCGTAAGCACACCTGCACCTGAACCAGCGGCACATGATGAGGACCAAAGTGATGATAATGAAGATGACAACAATGATAATGATGATGACAGGACGGAGGCTGCTGTGGTACCAGAAGTCACCTCGCAGCCAATTGCGGCGCAGCCTGTTTCCAGCAGTGATGAACCTGCTCCTGTTGCCTTGCAGCCAGAACCTTCCTCACCTGTCGTGATGGTCCCGGCCACTGTTCCCACCAGTGAAGTCACGGTTGTTCAACGAGTCCGAGAGAACAGCACCAGTAGTGATTTTGCTTCCAGTGTGGTGTCCGATGTATTGTCCACAGCTATAGATGCCGCAGCTAGCGCAGGAAGGGCTGTTTTCACTACGGTGGAGAATTTCCTTACTGGTGTGCCAAAGCCTGAGGCGACTGCAACATACAAACCCGTGGAGGGATGTGAGGTGTCCGTGAATCGGCCATCAGAAGCGGAACCATCTTCTAATGTAAGCCAACGTGCCCTCAGTTTTCCTTAGCTTAGAATTTCAAGTGAAATACGGGGCAGCGCTTTCAAGTTATCGAATCTCGTACTGCCTGAACTTTTAACTAAATGACTTTACAGAATCAAAGTGGACGAATTCGTTTCGGAAGTTTTTGAACTTTTCCAAGAAAGTGCATTGATCGCACGGATTCACGTTTCAGTTTAACTTTTCGCATTCGCCAGCGAGAATTTTCATTTGAATCACTTGGTTTTTGTACGCACACGGTTGCAAGGACCAATCACTGCCAATGCTTCATAGCCACACAATGCTTCATAGCTACAAACGTCAACCCATTACGAATTCTCTTTTCCTTGGCAGGCATTCCCTCATTTCCGACGGCTAATAATAATATTAATATTATTATTAATAATAATTATAATAATAATGTAATTAATAATAATAATAATATTAATAATAATATTAATAATAATATTGTTATTATTATTATTATCATTAATAAGTTTTTAGGTCTTCTTACTAATGCAAGGAATCTTCAACTGATTTAACATACATGCTTTCTCCCTTCCCCTCACAGGAAGCTCCTGCAGTACACGAAGTAACCTGGCCCCCCGGCCGATCTCCCTCTACTTGCCATGAATGTCTGATGGAAATGGGCTTTTGTGATCGCAGGCTCAACGAGCAGCTACTGAAGAAATACAACTATAATGTAGCTAAAGTGGTCACCGAATTGTTGTCTGTAACTGACAACGAGTGGTCGACGCGAAGGCACTAAAGAAAAGAGCTGGGCGGCGATGTTTTACTTTTACAGTTTGTCTTTAATCTTTGCTTATATTGTTGCATTTTTTTCGGGAGGGGGGGGGGATGGAGGGATGGATAGTTTAATTATTTCCGCGATATTTCGCCTGTTGGACCACGCCACGAAGATCGAAAAGGCAAGAAGATCTACGCATTTGAAGGAACTCTGTCACGGGTTCTGCATCCTAAGGAATTTAGCAGTTTCAACATTGCTTGCATCATGTTTTTCCTTCTTGCCAACGTAATATTTTGTAGACTCCTGTTAGTCGCAAATAAATTTGTTCGCCGTTAATATAGCTCCAAAATGCTCTGATGTAGCTCCTGCAAAATGCGAATAACGTTATGCAATTTGGATCCGAAGATCTCGGGAATTAACTTTCATAAAAGATTGTTTTGTTTACATTGCACTCGTTAGCATTGGGGAATGGAAGAAAGGGAAGTCGAGTTTTTTGTCCATTAGGATGTCGCGTTTCGTTTGTTTGTCTCGCAAATTTGAAAGTCACGCAAACGTCTTTGACAGAAACTGGCTAGTCGACCGCAGTGCACATCTGACGACGCCAAATGATCATTTAAAACATCTTTATTGCGGAATGAACTTTTAGGGTAATTATTTGTTTATATAAACCCTACAATAGTCGGTAAGGGAAGGTACATTGGTTCGGAATTTATAATTTCGTTTCTTTTTGTTTTCATAAGGGATGAATCGCTAGCCATGTCAGCGTGTTAAAATTTAACTCTCGGACTTCTTCGGGCACATTTTTCTGAAGATTTATTGTATGAAATTCTTACCCGTCCAACTATCGAGGAAGTATAACTGTTGGTGGACTGAATGCATTTAGGGTTAGTTAAGACAAACTGCTTTATTGTAATCTATGAAAATGTAAATAAACAATTGGTTATCTGGAACCATTTATCTGACGATTTATGTCCTCTGTGCTAACAATTCAGCTGGGGCCCGTTTCTCGAAAGTCCCAGTAACTTAACGGGCCCGAAGCCATGTTTTAAAAGCAAAATTTAAAGGATAGGAAAGCAGGTTCTGGCGCCCAAACTAGTCATTTTTGTTTCTTTAGCTGATAGTTTTATTGTATGATTTTCAAAACTTTTGGATCCCCATCTTGAATGAAAATAGAACAGCTTTACGAGCCCGTGAAGTTACCGGGACTTTCGAGAAAAGGGCCCCTGCTGCTCACTATCGAGGATGCTGTAGACCACTCATTTGTTCTTATTGCATTTTGACATCATCTGTGATCTTTTCTGAACGCTCGTAAGGCAACGTGGAGTCAAAATGTTGTTTGTGACGACGTCATCCATGCGTCTGCCCTCTAATAGATCATTAGTAAGAACCAATCAAAACGCAGCATATCATATAATTAACGGTAAGATTGTGAGCTCGAACTTTCTATTGGGTGATACGTATTTCTTTGAATAACGCCCCATCCGTAAATGAGGGGGGCATTGGGGTTTGCGGTTTTGGCTATATTTTAAATTGGCTTTTCGGTTTTTGTGCAAAAGAACGTCGGTTTTTCGGTTTTTGGGTTCATTGCTTATTATATTGAAAACAAAACCTCATTAAATATAACTTTCAACGCAATTTAAAACACGCCTGCTACAAAACTAGTTTCGTCCACAGACCTCTTCAGTTGTATACGATGTCTCGCTTCGTTTCTTTGTTTCGTTAGAAATTTCAAATCTCAGACCATGTCATATAACGTTGCACGAGCATATAACGTTGCACGAGCAATAACCTGGTATCTAGTTGCACAACAACGACACTAAGGTAAAACTGATAAAACAACAACGCCAAAGTAGACAAACAAAGATAAACAAACTTAAAAACTTCCAAAACAAAACAAACAAACAAAATGAAACAAAAAAAACAAAAACAAACAAAAACAATACAAAAAAAACACCAATAACAATAAAATCAATATTCCCCAATAATTACACTAACAACACAAATAACAATAAATAGACAATCAAATAACTTAATTACAACAGACTATAACTCAGTTTCACTGTGCAGTAGTCACATGATGAAATGTTCGTAGCCTCATTCACGATTGTGTGACAACAGCCCTTGGGATCCTGAAATAATTCCACTCGCTCTTCGTGTTTATCAGTTGATCTTGTTGAACCTTATTGATTTGGACTGACTCTGAGATCTGTCTCAGCATGGCGTCACCCTGAAACACTCCCGTGACATTCATTGTGAACCCTGGAACGTTACCGTCATGTTTCTCACATGAATGCCTCCACATTACTGAACTTTGCTCTCTCTGTTCCAAAGCTCGCAGATGTTCCTTCCCACGGGTGTATGCATTTCGCGCTGTCTCCCCGATGTATCTACTGCGGCAAAGTTGACACACTAGCTTATAAGTGATACCGGTACTCCGGCAAGGGCCCTTTCCACCGGTGCTGCAAACCAGACAGTTGATGTTGTTACATCGATTTTCTCTGAACGGGTCTGACCTCTGCAAAATCCGATTCAGAGTCACACCAGACTGCTCGACCACTGTGACCTTGAATCCAGCTCCCTTAGCCTCTTCCATGTACCGATTTTTCAGCTCCGAGGCTGAAGTTGCTGGCACGAATATCACCGTGTTAAACCCTCCCTATCTGTACCAGGATTCCCGCTTTTCTTTTCTCTTCTGATCTCGTTCTATCCGCTTCCCGAGTTTCTCTCGGTCTGTACAAGGGTTGCTCACCACTCGCGTCTAGCTCTACCATGCGGTTGTATGCTTTCAGTGCTGACCGCACAACCTCCGTTCTGAACTTCTGAGCGGCCAGAGTACTATAGGCGCAACATAATGTGGTTCACGTGGCCACCATGTGGTTCACATGGGGTTCATTGCGTTTTGCGGATTTTCCGTTTTCAGCATTCGGTTTACGGTTTTCGTCAAAATTTTTGATGAGTACTCGGTTTGGTATCCGATATGTCTTTTCGGTTTTTCGTACTGAGGTTCCGGTTTCTCCTCGATCTGAGCAGCAGCTATACGCCTCTGCTGATCTCGAATAGCCGCGGAACCTATGTTGCTCCACTTGTAACCACAGTATCAGATCGACTAGGATTTTGACAAATTTATCGGTGAAGACGGTTTTACATGCGGTTTTCCGTTTTGATCGAGTTTTTTTGCTGTTTTGCGGTTTCTAATAGACCCCAGTACCCCCCTCGTAAATAGACCAAGTCGTTGAACCGTGGCCCACCATAAGAGGAAATAGTTGAAACGTGCCCAAGCGTCTTCCTCACCTAGTCATTCCGGGTACCAAGTTAAAAAATATCCTGTTTGTTCAGGATTTCATATACTCGTCTTTATATAACGTGTAACAAGCTCTCGCGCGCATACCTTACACAAGCTATCAGTGACCAGAACAATTCGATCCCTTAGTTCCTGCACTTTCATGTTGTTTTTCTTTTTAAACTGACACCTCCCTTGTAGAAAATCTCTTTTGTTCTTGAATTTTTAAATTACAATTTTTCTCTTCCTCTCCCCTCTGTGCACTCTTTTTGAATTCATGAGCGGCGCGCGTGATTTTACAAATTAGCCAATCACGTCAAAGAACTTTGACCTTGACATTGAAAATTGACGTGAACAATTTTCTCGCGTATCTTTTGTTGTTTGTTTTTTTATGAGTTCATTGTTTTTGAGTTTTCGTTCAAGCCAATTTGTTATCCCTCAGTTTGGATTGTAAAGAAGATTCTCAGTTTTTATTTAATCCGCATATTGTTGTTATATTTTATCTATACATATCTCCACGGAGTTTTGACTCTAGCGTTTTTTTCTTTATGGGATATTTTTAGACCTTCGTGCGCATAAAGAAATAGACAAAACAGGACAGACAGGAAGCACTTTTCAACTCTTAAAAAACTACGAAAGCATTTAGAGTTATCTATCAATATTTTGACCACAGGGATGACATTATCATGAAAAAGAGGCAATTTCACTTTATTATCCCCCAATGGAAGTTACAACAACATCCTCTTGAAAATTATCTCAGGTATCAAAATAAAACACTTAGGTGTCAATCACTCGGGACATTGATCGCGAAAGACAAACATCCTTTTTTAAAATTCGCGATTCGCATAAATCAAGAGCATTTTGAAATCATCTCATTGGCGAACAAGAACATTTTGGTAATCTCTTATCGATGTACCGCTGAAAACAGTTTATAGACGGTTCGTCTCGCAACGACCGGATCGCGTGACGTACGGGGGAACATGTGCATGATCACGACCGCTGTGTCTTGTCGCGTCAGGTAATTGTAATTGTTGAAGCCCCCGAGAATTAAACACAAGTGATCACGTTCTCAAAGCGTAGGATGAATTTTCGTGCCAGACTAACAAGTCAAAACTTCTAGCCCAGTTTTTCAGGATCATATTTACAGTTTGCACAAACATGCACAATTTACCGCTTTCGAGAATTTTGAATTCCCGTCGAGGCAATCCAGGAGCTAATTGTGTTCCAACAGATCCAGTTTATTTCGAAATAAAGCAGGATGACGTCGAAGGTGAAGACTGTTGTGTCGTTTGAGCGTTTGAAAGGTTATCGGGGCAACTCCATCCCCGCTGCGTTGCAAGTTGAATGTTGCCCCTTCCCGTAGCTTCAATAAATCTGCTGACCTGCGTCTTTTCATGAGAAGTATTCATATGAAGACGTTTCACATAAGCTACACTAATAGGCACAGAGGCCATCCTTTTCCCTGTAAAAAAAAAAAATTAATTCAATAAAATACCTGATGCTACGAGAGCCTATCGGTCGAGAAAGCGTCGACAAAAGTAAAGAGTACATTTCACTTAGCTTCAGTTACCTGACCTTTTAGCAGAGCAACCCTTCAATACAACCAACAATCAGAAATCAGAAATTCAAGCCGGAAAAACTTGTTGGAGACAATGATCTTTTTAAACCACTCTGACAACTCCAGCTCTTTTAACCGCACTGCAGGAAAGCACGAAAGCGAAGGGAACAAAGTAATCAAAATTGACCTCAGTTGTCTTCTACTATTTTTTAAATGACATTAAGATGAAGTGTCAACATTGTTTTGAGTCACGTCCACTGTAAGAAAAAAACAAAAAAAACAAAAAAACAAAAAAACAAAAAAAAGAAACAGCCACTCAAATTATGGAGGCTCTTATATTTGTTATGTAATAATCAGGAAAAGTCGATAACAGCGGGGCGGTGCTTTCCATTCAACAAAAATTACCGGTTCAATCGGAATTTTCGCTGGTCTAATGGAACGCGTCCGACCGTATCCAAACCTATCCAAGAGGGCACACTCACAACGTATTCCTAAGTTTTCGAACTTTTCCTGTTCCATTCGATTTCAGACCGGAAATCTCGAAACTTTTGGTCAAATGGAAAGCGCCCCAGGTCTCGCTTGAGTTGGAAGTGAAAGTAGCATTGCTTGTTTGTTTCATTCGACTTCATCGACTTCCGCTACCGACCTAGAACTTTACAATCCCTATCACTATTTACTTCGTATATAAGAACGATCCTTCGCAGTAAAGCACTATTTGAGAACTATTTGGTTTATATCGAATTAATTTGATGGCCTGCTCCCAGTTGGCTTGTTAGCTCAATTGGTAGAGCGCTGCACTGGTATCGCAGAGGTCAGTGGTTCGAATCCCGTACAGGCCTGAAATTTTTTTCTTGTCTGATTTTCAGGTCTGATTTCCACTATTGCTCAAATAGTGCTTTACTGCGAAGGATCGTTCTTATATACGTCTCAGAACCGCAGTTCACTCATATGTTCCATATGTTTGTTGTTGTTCGATTTACTATTTACTTCATTACAACGTGAGGCAAATGATTTTAAAAATAAATTTTATTGTTTGATATCGCCATGATAAATAATCACAACGTTCTTGGCAAGATTTTCGTATAAACCTATAATATATGAAGCTCGTAGTTCTCTGGAATGTTCACCAGTAAGGCTGGCATCATGCGGGATTGCCGTTGTTTTTTACTTTTAAGCAACACGCACCGTGTTGTCTCCCAAGCTGGGATCTTGCGACGAGTCAGTTGTAGTATCTGCTTGCACCGAGTGCAAATACTAAGAATTCATGATTGCGATAAATCATGTCAAATGGTAATTGCAGAGCGCAAACGTAAATCCTGGGCACGTTTCAAATTTGATTCTTCGATTGTAAGGGATCATCGATCATCTGATTGGCGTAACGTCCACTCCTGAGCTCGACTGTCTCATTTGAGGAGAAAAAAAATTGGCTGTTTCTTAGGTTCACGTGTCACTTTGTTTAACCACGTTTCAACACTTCCGACCGTCATGCGATTAGCCCATAGGTCAGATAGGTCATGTTAATTTCGCAACGCAACAATACTGCATGGAAACTGAAAACGAGAGAAACCCTTTTTCCTTGTTAAAATACTTCGATCGTATGCACTTCCCCTCAGATAAAATTTTGCGTATCTTGCACATCCGTGTTCAGGGACGATCCACGCATTCTTTGAACCGTTGCTCACTCGGCTCAGATGAGAAAAATGACAAACTCTGAAGTGAAGATTGTAACATCGTTTGCACATTAGAAACGTAATCATGAATAGGCCTTCTTCCTTGCGTAGAATCCTGAATCTTCTCGTATTCTGCAAGTTCAGTGCCATTACTTTGCGTTTTCGTTTCCGATATCGAAGTTCTCTCCAAATGCTTTAAATATGCTGAAGTTATAGGGACAGAAGCCATTTATTTTGCCTGCAAGAGAAATAATGAATAAAATTTTTAGATTGTTTTCAGGACTGAACGTCGATCGCATCGATCGGCCCCTACGCTAAGGAAAACATTAACAAATATTTACGACAATATCATAGACAAAAGATGGCTAACTATACATTTCAGTACATTCATTATAATTAGCTTTGCCTTAAGGCCATGTATACTCGCCTTGAGTTTGCAAATAATGCCGAAGTCCTCAGAATTTCACATAAACTGGATCAGCGTAACTGGTTGTTCCTGATAGCGATCTAACCTTCTTGAAGACGCTGGTCTCTTCAAGGGAACGACTGGGATAAAACATGATCCTTGGAAATCGATTCATATCATTGAATACGTTGTTTCATCACTCCCTTCACTGACGTAAGCAGGATGGCACGTCACAAACTACCTTTGGACTTTCGTGTAATTATTCACCGGGAGGGCGCGTGAGCAAGGGCATGTCAAGGAGAATATGCTAATTAAAATTGTGTGGCTATTTTGAGAAAGTATCATTTGTAAAGTAAGATTTAGCAAGGGAAAGCTAGCAAAGATTTAATCTGCATATCAACTTGTGTTAAAAAAAAAGTATCACGCCCTTAAGAGGCATCTTGCGCATGACGCAAGACGTGAACAGTGGATAATTATAGATACGGCAAGTGAGTTATTGATGTGAATCCAAATGGACTATTAAAACTTTAAAATTATTCCATTCCACTTGAGTCTCGTGTATGTTGATTCATCAACTTTTAGAGTCCATTAAATAATTGTTTCTGCGATTTATGTCGCTGTCATTTCGTTTCTCGCCATTAGATTTCAGCACTACTCGTTTTTCTTCATAATTTTAGTAAATACAGTTTGGAAATCGTCGTGGTTTTTTTCCCTTGTTTATTGAATATTTCTTCTCAATCATGACAGTACATCTCCTTTGAACACCACCTTCTTAGAGTTGCAAAGCATTTTGAAAGGAGTTATCGGGAGTTTGGTGAAATCATGTAGAAACCAGGCGACTCGACGACGGAGTTGTTTACGAGTTCTTGTTTGACGATGAAAGAGTGAATTGAACTCAAACTAGTCACAAATAAAACGGCCAAGCTTTTTTGGTTGTTTTAATCAACGAATAAAGTCGTTCAAGACTGGGATAGGTTTAGAAAGTTGTGTCGAAATAGAATTGACTATCATTTTCTTCTGTAAAGTAAGTTTAACTTTCTTGTCTTATTATTCACCTATGCTGACTAAAAATTCAAGACGTAAAAAGTGCAAACCCGAACTATTCTCAAATTGTTAATCTTTGACTTCGCAAAGCAGGCAGTTATCAAGGTAAATACGAAAATGAAAACAAATTAAATAATAACATGATACAGTAGGTTAGCTTCGTGATATTTCATTTTAATCGACTAGTTCAATTAACATGATGTAAGTTTATTGATGAACTAATTCACGATAAAATTCCGCTACATCTCATTCTTAAAATCAGTTCTAATAGGATAAAAAAATATATAAAAGAAAAGTGCTTAATTTTATGAGCGAACTGAGTTCTGAAATCTTGTCTCGGTTGCCAACGATTATTTCGATTTCCTGTCACGATTCGTGCAAAAATGTAGCAGTGAATTTTCACAAATACACCGAATGTAATAAAGAAAGGGACCCAATTGTCCTAGAAATGAGTTTGGAAATCATTCCAAACCGCAGTATTACCCCGTTTGAAAGAGTACAATTTACGTAAATCCCAGACGTTTTGATCGCGACGGGAAAACCAGCGAAATGTCGATCTAAACTTGTCATAAAACTTTTTGGACCAGACTTCGGAAACGTTTCTTGGTTTGCGAATTAATCATGTTTTGGTATTGTAGCGTAAAATCTTCGCCTCTGCGGTGATATGAATTAATAAAATTTACCTAAAAATTTGACGCGAATAATTCTTTTTTTCTGTATCATTCATGTAAAGGACATATGCGTCTCGAGAAACTGACAGAAGTCTTTCAGTTTCTTCTCATCTGCTACGTGAGACGTAAATACTAATTTTCACAGTTGTATTCTGAACGGTGGTTGAAGGTGGTTGTATAGTCCTTTTTACAGTTGTGGGCTTGGTGGCCAAGCCTTTGAACAGGAGTGATGCTAAGGGTGACCCTGTTGTGATAGAGACCTGTATCTAGTTAGCATGATAACAAAGAACTTTGCATTTGAAAAGAAGCAACGTCTCTATCATAACAAGGTCACCCTTAGCCTCACTCCTGTTCAAAGGCTTGGCCACCAAGCCCATAACTGTAAAGAAGGACTGTTTTCCTTGTGATACACTACAAGTAAGCTAATACCACAGCATATTAAAAGTTACTAATATGGCGGCCTCTAAACTAGAAATCAATTTTCGGCGACTTTTAGAACGTTGCGAAGCCATGGCGGAGGAAATTCAAGACAACAAAGAGAACTTAAACTGGAGATTAGATCGGGTAAAGTAACATAACTGCTTTTAAGTTTTCTGTCGGAAAACGTTTCTATTCCAAAAAAATAATTTTCACGACCTCGCGTATATCAACTGATTTTATATTAAACAACAAACATATGATTCATATGTTTGTTATTTGATCATATGTTTGTTGTTTGATTTATCATCTACGGGTTTATGTCGAATTAATTTGATGGCCTGCTCCCAGTTGGCTTGTTAGCTCAATTGGTAGAGCGCTGCACTAGTATCGCAGAGGTCAGTGGTTCGAATCCCGTACAGGCCTGAATTTTTTTCAGGTCTGATTTTCACTATTGCTTAAATAGTGCTTTACTGCGAAGGACCGTGCACATATACGTTGATTTTATATTATTTGCACAGTGTTAGGTGGATCGTTGTGAGCAAGCTGATTACGAACATACGTTCTACAAACAGGGAAATAGTGTATTTTCAAAGGTTTAAGAAATTTCTTCCCCTTAAAATTTGAAGAGCTCACAAAACTGCTATTCGATTCTAGACTATAAAATTAAAAACGATAACGTAACAACCATTGATTCATCGATCGATTTTAATCAATTTAAGTCAGGAAAACAAATGAAAACCTATTGATAAGAACGAATCGGCTAAACATAACTGGATCGTTGTGAGCAAGCTGATTATAAACGTACATTCCCACAAACAGGGGAATGGTTTATTTTAAAGATTTAAGAAATGTCTTTCTCCTGGATTTAAAGAGCTCGCACGCTTGTAAGATTACTACATTCGATTGTAGACTGGAGAAAGCAAGGTTCACCATCAATCAAGAGAAGTCATGAAAACCAATGATAATTAAGCCGTTGATAAAAACTGATCGGTTCAACATAACAATTAAACATGAAAACTCGATCTTCACTGAAACATCTTCATTTTTAATTATAATCCTAAATAATTGCTAATGAAAATTACTAGAAATAAACTTGAGGAGAATTAATTATCAGAATAATGTAGATACTAATTTATTATGGGCAAGCTACCCCATACCCATTCTTAGATGTGGCCCTTTGTAGCATCAAAAGGCGCTTTGGGGCTTTTTCTAGCTCACTACCGACTCCTTGTTACTTCATACCACAGAAATCACGATGAGCTCTGGCTAGATGTGGCAGGTTAGCTGGTTAGCCAGTTAGCTCAATTGGTTAGAGTGCCGGATTGTGTTGTACGGGAGGTCGAGGGTTCGAGCCCTGACCGGACAGATACTCATGGTCTTAAAATAAGTGAGGAGAATCTGCTACCTTTTTATGATCAAGAAATGGATAGATACTCTAATCTTCCTGGATAAGGACAAATAAACCGTAGGCCCCGTCTCCTGCAGGGTTAGGGGTAGGAGACATTAATTTCCCATTCACGAGATTACTGTGTGGTGGTTGTCCTCCCCTGGGTGGGATGGGTGGGAATTGGCCCTAAAAAGCCCCTGTGGGGAGTGGTCATCAGTTAACCTATGTAGGTATGTATGTATGGGCCACTTAGCTCAAGTACAGACTTAACCCTTTAATTCCCATGAGTGACCAAGACGGATTTTCTTCTTCTGATAACAATACAATATCAAGGAGACGAGTGATGAGATTAAAAAAAGAGAATAAATTAGGGGAATTTATTGGTTGATCTGATATCAAATTCTCCAAACTTGCATTATAAGAACTGTATAGCAGACAGTAAGGAGAATTGCTAACGAGAACATGGGAGTGAAAGGGTGAACCTTCCTCTAAGCTAGCTATCAGAATAATGTTCATGGATTCTCATCAGCCTTATCAGGCGAACATTTGAAAATTTGGATATATCAACAAAGTTGAAATGGTAAATTGGCCACCGTAAGGATTACAAAAGCTGACGTTTCGAGTGTTAGGCCTTCGTCATTCGCTCCGACGAAGGGCTAACGCTCGAAACGTCAGCTTTTGTAATCGTTACAGTGGCTAATTTACCATTTCAACTTTGTTGATATATCCAAATTATTTCTTTACCCCCACCGACGCAGCCCCAAACAGTTTCTTTAGAAACTATCAGCCTTTAGAACATTTGAATAACACAATTAGTAAAGGAACTAACTAATACCTTATAATGAAAGGTCTAAACAACCATGCTTGGTTAGCTCACATTGTAGACTGAGCACACTAGACTACTGAGGGGGAGGGGGAGGTGGAGGGTTCAAGCAACAGACCAGACCAACACTCAGGGTCTTAAAATAACTGAGGAGAATGTCCTGCCTTTGTTATGACATCCACAAATGGTTAGACACTCTGGCCTTCTCAGATGAGAGCAATAAATGGCAGACCCCATCTCTTCCCTCTACTGGTTATCAGGGGACATCAAGGAACCCACAATCTTTTGTGAAGAGAAGGGAACATAACACCCAGTGTTGTGATCTGGCCTTGTTGTTATTCATACTGGCCCCCATTTAAACCAGCTTTAAGCTGAACTGGGCCAGCCTGTCTAAATAGTGCAAACATATACATACATGCATACACAGAAAATTAAATAAAATTCACCATGCCTAGTACATCTTACCAATTTAACCCCCAAGAACAACGAGTCGCAAATTTCTCCTTGTAGTAATACTGCTGAATAGAATATGGAGGTCATCCGAATAAAATAATTGGCCACTAGCTAAAGGACAGGGCTGTGGTCTAGCAGCGCCTGGTGGCCTCTGGCAGCCCGCGGCACCTTACTTTTGCTCTTGGGCAACTCAGGAATCTTAGTTTTTTCATAAAAAGCATATGTGGGGCAACCCTGGATTTCACAGTTTCAGTGCACTGGGCTCCCTTCAATTTTCTTAGAGCACAGCCTTGAAGGAGCTCTTGATTGTTGAGCAAATTCTCTTTGTCAATAGAGAATAGTATGGTATGTAATAATATATAGTATATAATAATAGTATGGTACAGTATAGAGAATGTGCATGCCGATGTTAGGGTGTAAAGGGTTAAAAAAATTATTGTTTATGTTCGCAGTATGTATCAACCCTCCAGAGACAAGTCACTGAACTACAGAAATCAAGCAAGTGAGTATTTTAAAAACACTTCAAATGCTTATCAGATTCCCCCCCCTCCTCCCCCTGGGGAACAGGTTCTCTCCTCTAGTTACAACATGTCTCTTGATAAATTAGCCGAATATGATTTTATTTTTATCAAGAAAATGGTCTCTTTTAGATTGGGTTGTCTATATCATAGCCCAATTATTTTGTTTGAATTAAGACTTTTTTCCTTAATATTTATTGTCCAAGGTCTATGCCTCAGTATTTTGGTTATTTTGAAATAGATCTTGGACACAGGACAGAAAAAAAAAAAAAACGTTCAACTTGTTTCAAAACTATTTCAAGGTTGGAACTGAAAAATTTAACAGCAATAACTATATTTGATATCAGTAATCATAAGCTGATGAAGTGAAATTCAGCAGAGCTTTGCTTGGAAGATGTTAAATAAATGTAAACTATAACATAACCAACATAATATACATTGTCTGATTGGTCAATTAAGTTTCCAAGTGGATCCTTTATCAGGTTATAGAGCCCATGTGTAACTAGTTGTGTCACAAAAGCAATAGAAATCATTTTTTCTGTGCTCTATAACATGGTAAAGCCACACAGGATGTTGGGAGAACATGAGGAAAGCTTATAAATCATGAGCTAAACGCAAGCAATCTATAAGCTTTCTCCCAATGTGCTGTGTGGCTTTCTCATATTCTAGAGTCTGGAAAAATGTGTCCTATTGCCATAATTAACTCTGGGAGGTAAATGACAAAGCTTGACTTACATTTCCTCTTTCTCACCCTGTAGCTCTCCCATTGCACATGTCAGAGTTGCTTTAAACCTCTGATCCTTTATGTTTTCACAAGAGATCGAGCCAGTGTCTTTTCACATACTTCTTTATGAGCAAGTTAGTAGCTTTGCCATTCTCTTGAAATTTCATTTGATTTTACAGCAAACCAAATCCTGATGCAATGAATGAGTACAGAAAGAAGGTGGAATTTCTGAAAGGCCTCATTGAAACTCACAAAGTGGTAAGACTGTCTAGAGATTCTACTGTGACTACATTGAATTTTTAATGCCATTTTTCTTATGGTGCTAAAGAAACACCCTTGACAAAAATTACATTGAATTCATTTTCCCACACATACATATCACCATACTTAGCTATGGAAATTCTTTGCAATCACATACTTTTACGGGGCAAGAAAAACCTTCAAACTTGGACCAACTCCCAGCGTATGACTTTATGACTTTATAGTTCAGTTGGTAGCATGCCCGACTAGTATCTGAGAAGCACAGGTTCAATGTGAGTTGAAGGAGGAAAGGAGGAAATAAGCATGTCAATGTATATTATGGACTGTGGTATGATTATCAATGAAGTTTTGGCTGGGGTTTATTCTAGAAATCACCAACTGAGAAGCTGATTGCCAGCCAGCAGCTGGTGAGACCCTTGAGTCAGCCGCTCAACCAAAATTCTCAGGTAGATGGCAAAGGGGGGCCATCTAATAAAGGACAAGAACTACTTATCAAGACAAAATCACAGATAAACAGAGAAATGAGAAATGAACTGCTAGGAAATGGTGAGAATAAACTACTCAAGGTTTCATTTTTATGATACAGCAGGGGTGGACCCAGGGCAGGGGTACAGGGGTGCAGACCTTTACCCCCCCTTCCCACTCCAGACCAGTGGATTTTTTTACAACATGTCTGACACCAATCCATGGGAAGGGGTGCAGACTTCCCCCCCCACTCTGGACCAGTGGATTTTCTTACTACTTATCTGACACCAATCCAGGGGAAGGGGTGCAGACTCCCCCCCAACCCTGGACTAATGGATTTTCTTACTACCTATCTGACACCAACCCAGGGGAAGGGGTGCAGAGTTCCCCTCCCCCCACTCTGGACCAGTGGATTTTCTTACTACTTATCTGACACCAATCCAGGGGAAGAGTCAAAGAGGGAGAGGGTGGACTCTGCCCCATACAAGACCTGTGGATTTTTCACTACTTGCCTGACACCAGCTTTTTTTTTTTGCAATGATAAGCTCACATTACTACTCACAATGAAGTACTGATTATTTCCTTGTCTTGAAATGTTTCTTGTTTAGTGTTGTACATGGAGAATAGTTCTTGTTTTCTAAATCAAAGTTTGGAGCCCCCTCCCCCTTTATCGAAAAATTCTTGGATTCACCCCAGTAAAGGGCTTGTCAGTAAACAATGTATGAGCATTGAAATTGGGAATTTTGGTTAAGATTTTTTTTTTCTCCATGAAATGCAGACATTGATAAGAAAGGTCTTGTAGGCCTACGAAAGAGGTAAGAATAACAGTTTGTTACTATTGTACAATGTCATTTATAACGTCTAATCTGTTGTTTAAGTGTTGTTGAATAAAGCTTCAAATTATTCCTTAATTGAATACTAATTACAAGTTATGGTCAGTTGCATATTTGGTATTACGTGTATTCCTTCGCTATTGTTGTACATACAGCTTAGTTCGCAGAGGTATCCTTTTCAACTTAACAAAACTTTTATTGATAAAATGAACATGTGTTACAAAAGTATCTAAGTATACAATAGACAGGTGGGTTTCTACATTGCCGCATGTCTGTTCAGCAAGATATGATCACACATAATGTCAAAATGGGGTAAGGACAAAACTTTGATTTCAACTTTTTTCAAGCCAGCATATGCAAGTTGAAAAAGTGAAACTCAGTAGAATCTTGCCCTTCATGTTTGCCTAGCACTCGTCTCCTTTCCCCTGAAAAGTGAAAGAAAAAAAATGAAAAATGAAAAATGAAAGAAAGAAAAAAATGTGCTTGTTCTGTGGGCTAGCAAGTATGTTACATGCAGCATATGATATTTATTGCCACGTCTGATTCTACTTGATTGCACTTCACTTCAGGCCGACAGGCGATAAAAGAGAAAACAAAGATGGCAGCATAGACACAGTGTTACAACATCACCAGAATATGCAGGAAAATATTGCAGAGGAAATGATCAAAATGGCACAGAGCTTGAAGCATACTTCAGTCAGGGCCAGTAATATTATAAAAGAGGATTCTAAGGTGGGTTTTCTCTAAATGCGACTGGGTAAGAAGAAAATTTATTTCTCTGTGGTTGTCCAGGTACCTTAACCTTTTCACCCATAAGTGACCCATTTCTAATTTCTCCTTACATTATCACCCTGAATTACACATTATGGTCATGAGAATAAAGGAAATGATCACCAATGAAAGGAGCTCTTGATTGTCAGCCCTTCACACGCTAACATCAGTATTCCTGGGGCAGATCCAGGGGTGGTTCGGTCGAACCCCCTGAATTTTCCCTCAAAATGCTGGAAATCATGTTTCCGAAGAACTAATTTTCAAAATCTCCCAGGAGATCATGCTCTCAGACAATAGGCCATTTTACAGTTGTGTACTTAGTTGCCAAGCCTTTGATTCAGAGTGAGGCTGAAGGTGACCTTGTTGTGATAGAGACCTGTATCTACTTAGCATGATAACAAAGCGATTTACATTTGAAAGGCAGCAAGGTTTGTATCATAACAAGCTCAACCCTAGCCTCACTCCCATTCAAAGGCATGGCAACCAAGCACACAACTGTAAAATGGACTATTCTCCGAAACCCCTTGACTTAATCCTGGATCCGCCCTTGTATTCATATTCTCCATACTGTTCTCTATACATTTCCAAGAGTGCTGACAAGGAGAATTTGTTTAACAGTGAAGTACTTCTTGAGTCAGTGATCCTGTCCTTAATGGGTAATGTTCTATGGAGAAATTAGACGCTAGTTGCTCCTAAGGGTTAAGCAAATTCTCCTTGTTATGACCTTAGAAAATGTGAACAGGACAGTATGTTGAAGATGTCTACTAGTTTTACGGTTTAAAGGGTTAAAATGTGCCCACCTATTTTGCAGTAGGGTGAGAATATGAAACTCAATTTTATTTTCGTTGTAAACGTGTATTTAAGGCTGTAAAACAAACGGTTGCAGTAACTTTATGAAAATGAAAGTGAGTGCCCGTTTTCCAGTGTTGCATAAAAGCACCTTCACCCACCCCACCCATGAAAGTAGAGCTTGTGAGCCTCCCTTTTCCTCTGATATTTCCTTTCACACCACTACCCACGGGGATTAGGTGTGAATGTGTCCAAAACCCACAAATTGCATCCACTGTTAAAATTCTCTCTCACACACACAAAAAAAAAACAAACGAAAAAATAAAAACTCCTCAAGTGTTCTACAAACGTAATAAGTATCAAAATTCAGGTATTTTATAAGGGCGAGTTAACGTTACAAGTTCGTGATCGTTTATTCGACTAGTCATGTTTGATTAAGAGTTGATTGGACGCTAGCTACGCTGGGGGAAGGGGGCGGGGGAAAGATGAAACAATCATCGCCCCACCCCTTCCCCTCTCCTTCTTTGACCGTTGCAAACCCCCTTGGTACAAATTTCTTTCTTTCCCCAGCCTTCCGCTGCCGTTAAAATCAAAGATAATTTTCACCAAGAAAATACTAAGAAATCGCCGGCCAAAATTACGCCTGCACTGCAGGCTACATCGAAGTGCAAAAGAGCAAGATTCCTGAAAGTTTCCGAAACGTTTTGATATCTGTTTTCATCCTCTCTAGACACTGGAGAATTCAACAAAACTTGCAGACAACAATTTCGAAAAACTGAGAAAAGAGTCGGAAAGACTTGAAGAGTTGACGCAGACACCTTGCTCCATGTGGCTTTGGATAATGATAATAACAGTTTGTGTTGTATTTATGTGGATGATAATGTTTATAAGACTTTTTCCAAAGAAATATTGATGAGAATTATTATGGAAATATGAATATAAAATGCAACCTTATTGATAACCTACGTGTAACCGTACCCCTCCCCTAGAGGAGAAACGTTTCTCCTCGGGGGAGGGGGAAATACTTTACTGGCCCTTGTCATAATTTGATCACGTGACCTTGTCGATGAATAAGACAATAGAGTTAATGTTGGCGAGGTTTAATATGTTTTGGGCCAGAGTCAAAGTCATTTTACCCCGAACTGTCAGGCGAGGGTTAAAATTGACTGTGAGAGGGTCCCAAAGTATATTTCTATCATCATTACTTTGGAGGGTACAGTAAAGATAAAAACTGGAAAAAAATGACAGGGAAACAGTCTAAACAATCACGTGAACGTGGGAGCGGTTAAAATACTTTCTAGCTGGCTAAAATCTCTATTTTAGCCCGCAACAAGCATCACAATGCCCGACGATGTGATAGTAATAAGAAATGGACGTCGTAGGAAGTAGATATCAGAAACGAAAGAGCGAAGAAGAGATGCAACATTTAAAGTTCAAATTTTGATAAACTGTGTGCAGTGTGCGTTTGTGCATGTAACTTATGTTGCAATTGTTGCAGTAGGTAATTTTTAACCTCTAAGAATGTGACCGTGGTGCGTAACATGTGAATGAAGTGTCGAGTTCAAAGTTAAAACGTGAATAAACAACTGTTGAGGTTTCCTTGCTAAAAGGACGTGAAAGTTAGCGATAGCATGTTTTTGTTCTGTTTGGACGCCTAAGAATTGTATTAAGTTTTAAAACGCACTTGCTGCGCTATTGAGTTGCTCATTAAATGTTTTGTTTCGCTGTCGTAGTTTCCTTGAAGTCCCAAATGGGTGTTTTTCCTATTGGGTTTTACCATTAATTTGTGTGATCTCAAATTAAGGCTTTCAATCTTTGTATCTGATTAAAACATACGTCAAAAATCAAACTCGTAAAGACAAATTCCGATTCGCCCATGAATTTTTTTAAAATCTTTTTCTGGTTTAGACATACCCTCCTGCTTGCAGGATTTTTTTTTTTAAAAAAAAAACCAAGACTGCAAATGTATTTCTCTTTACACGTGTCGGCTCCACTCACAAACATGTCACGGCTCATTCAGCTTCTGAAAGATTTCTTATATAAAAGTAAGATATGTTTTTTAAAGGATAGCTTACCTTCAATTGTAGTAAGATACTGTTATCTGCGGCTCCACTTCACAAGTCAACGGCACGGTTTGCTAAATATTCTTGAATTTCTGATGAATATGGTTACTAACTTTAGCCAATAAGCGGCTGAAAGTCATATATTTTGACGCGAAGTTTGTTTGCACGCTCACCCTTTGAGCGTGATGCATTCACACGTGTCATTTATTTGGTGTTGTGTGGCTTTTCATTCTCAAAGTTCGACTAAGGAAGGATGTGGACCTCTGCAGGAGCAGACGCTATGGCGCTGTTTTGATAAATTGTGATAGGAATTGATCACTAACTTTCTCGTTGAAAGCTAAGATAACGTTGTCAAAGTTAGATATTTTGGGGACGTCTTTCTATCATTTAACGTTGCCACGTGGATTTTTTAAACTTGCTGCCAAATTCCTTTCCCCAGAGTTTTAAGAAACACCCAGAAATAGCGTAACACATCTTTTTCCAAACCCTCTGGAATGTATGTCATTGTTAACAATATTTCTAAATGTATGTGTGCAGTGTTCGTAACACAAAGTAATGGACACAAAGTCTACACAAAACCGCCATGTTTTATTCTCCTCACGTCAACCTACTCCGAAGGTCCCGGATCTAGTTACCAGTACCACAATGTGTAGATTTCAAATGGTAATCAATCCCTGATCATATTGATAATTCGTCGCTGTCAGAAGGGTGAACGGAAAAAGAAAGACTGTCACAAGAATCACAGGATATGAAGAGGATAGAGCAAAGATAAGCATTTTAAAATCATTGATTTATACAGTTGAAAAATGGTGGCTGTCTAATTAAACATCTCATTTTTAATTCGTGGATAGTATAGGTGGTTTGCAATCAATCTCTAGAGAAACAGGTAACAATGGTGAACGGAACAAATGCTGGTGGACGAACAAAAGAAGCTAGTGAGATATCTATTGTTTACGTCCACCAACATGGCGGCGATGACGTAAGGTGCAAACCACCTATAGGAGGGTCTTTTACAGCTATTGGTTAACATTTTTGGCCATTTACAGCTAACGGGGAAGTAATATCTTTCCGTTATTGTCAGCTTTTTTTTTTTTTCTACTTTTTACGGTTAACTTTTTTTACCAATAGCATCGCTATTGCCTGGGAGTAACTTAATGTTCTTGAACTACAAGAATGACTATTCCGAACGATTGCCTCAGCAAAAACTAGTCCACTGACTTCAAACAAACTGGCTCCTCTCAGCATGCAGATGCAAGAACAAAGCTGTAAGAAATAGATAACGGCATTGCATCTTAAAGACGACTTTTTTACGACCTGAACATAACCAAAGAACTAAGAAGAATGTCATAACTGTTCCAATAGATTGAGACTGACTTGTTGCAGCCAGATGAACTCTGTTCGAGCCTTACAGATGAGAAAATCGAGAAAAAAGTCACCAAACATTTTTACGAAGAAGCCCTTAAAATTAATTGATGGCTTCTACTCCGGATGACAGAGCGTTATTCACGGCTCCCAAAAATAATGCTTTCTGCCCGGACTACGAACGGTCATAATGCACAAAGACTTTTTCATTCAAAGAACGAATTTAATTCCTTTTTCATGATGTTGTTGATGATACAAAAGGTAATGGGGAAATTGAGGGCAAATTGACTTTGTCCTCGAATTGAGTTGGATTAAATGAGCTAGTTGACCCTATGAAACAAAATGTGTTTGTTAGTCAAAAATGAACGAAAAAAAAAAAACAGTACAGTGCCATCTCAAAACTTGTATTTACTGCTTTGTTCTAACAACTGAAGTCAGTTTCAGCAAGAGGACTTTGGCTTTAAAGTTATGAGCAGGTTTTTAAAATATTTCAAGTAATTGTACCCCTTAAGTTTTATTTTATGCTATTTGTTTTGGAACGTAGCAGCAACGTCCTCTTGTTGTTATTGAGGCTGTTTCCTTAAAACTCAATGCTTGGTTGAGAAAAGGATTTAGATAAAATGCAACGTTACACAAACCAGTCTACATACGTTTGGTGAAAGTCATTTCCAAGACTGCATAAAGATTAATTTTTGCTGCCAACCTCGTATGTCAAAAAACCATGAACAAGACTTTTGCCTAATTAGGCGAGAAATATAGTTTTAATCAACGTTAATTTTTTTCGCAAATCCTAGGGAAATGCTTTTGAATTAAAC